AACTTTATCAGTATATCAAAAAGGAGTCTACTTTACTGGCATAAAAGTGTTCAACAATCTGCCACAAAGTATTAAAAACTTGGGCAATGATACTAAAAAGTTTAAATCAGAGTTAAAGAATTATCTACATGCTCATTCCTTCTACTCTTTAGATGAATACTTCAATGTAAATAGAGAATGATGTAAAATTAAGTTACATTAATTTTTAAGCTAAAATTGCCTGTACTAAGTATGTAACCTTTTGACTTGTTCTGTATCCAAAGGTACTAACCTGCTTAGGATTTATAGAATGTAAATAAATTCAATTCAATTCACTTAAACAGCATAAAAATGGTTTCTACTCATTGTTCACTGTCCACAAACTCCCTACAACTTTTACTAAAAACTGAAAGTTCATTCTCCATTCTAACAATTTATCACCATCATTTTGGGAAGGGAACGAGATCCAATAAATCATGTGCTGCAAAAATAAAACTGACTGAATTCCAACAGTTATTTGATTAAGTGCTGAGTTATGTAGCCATGTGAAGGACATGTGCTCACTCATCTGTATTTCCAGTTGGTGCTCCACAAATCATCACTTAGGCTGCTTAATTGTCTGACATCAGGAACAGCAAGGCAAATGATTAAAACAAGTGTTTCAAATGTGCAGACAGATAGGAATATGAACACACAGAACTAGACTAAATTTCTATTGAGGCAGTAAATCATTAGAAATGGCAGAAGTTTCTTCTAACACAATAAAAAAATATCACAGTAGAGGCCTCCCTTAATATTTCTACGTTCAAGATTTCATTGAAAATTACTTACTGTTCCACAAGATGCTAATCCATTATCTACATGTGAAAAATTAAATGGGGATTTCAATGTACTTGAAAATATACTAGAAAGAGGAACCTCTACTGCAGTTCTTTATAAGACTATACTTCATATGGTATTTATTGCTGACCTTGCAGGATATTGTTTGCAAACAGTGTGATAGTTGGATGAAAGTGCTGGCTCAGTTTCAGAAGTTCTGTGTAGGCACAGTACTGCCCACCAGCAAACAACGGGTTCCTATGAAATGGACTATATGCTGACCCATTTTTCTGCTTTCCATTTCTGGACCCTTCATTCTCACAATGGAACCAGGTGGGAATAGAAGCCATGACACTGACACTCTCATTGTTCTTCTCTTCATAATGAACCCCACCTTGCGAAATTTCAAGCTCTTCAGGCTCCTGAAAAAGAATCCACTGACAATCAGTTGGTTGGTTAGGCCACCTCACATCCTGCTCCTTAATTTCAAGACTAAGGACACAACATACATTTATTATAATCAATCTGCATTACGTCCAATGCCTTAATAATTAGTACATGGAAAACTCTGTGAGTTCTACACTTGAAATACAAGATGGCACTATGATAATGAACGTTGAATTCAAAAGAAAATGAATTGAGAAGTTGGAAGCCCATGTGAAGGTACTGTTACAGCATCTGCCTGAAGGAACTGAAAAATATCAAAAAAATCTGAGAAAAACTGGTCCCTGAGCTAAATTCTGAATCTGAGACTTATGAAGCAACACACACTTTTATTTGGGAGGTAAATGTTTCAAATCTGCATTGATATTGGCTACTCTATCCATGTAAATGCACAGATTTAACTTCTTGAAACAGGTAAGAAAAGTCACAAAACAAAATCTGCCTGTTCCACTGCCATGGCAAGCCTCATAGACAGCCTGGTGCCAGTGCATTAGTGTTACTGTTATCAGACACTGACAACAGGGAAACAGAATTTGCATGTACATACTTATACTGCAGAGATCCGAAGTAGGCAGGCAAGTGGAGGTATTACTAAGGAGATGGAACAAAAAGCAGATTTCTGCTGGGTATGTAAGACCATTTACAACATTAAAACAAAAAATATTTAACCTCATGATCCAATGCCATTTATAAGAAAAAAATTAGAGAGCAGCTTAATGTAGTTAATATAGAGCAGAGGACTGAGAGACACAGAAGACACTGCAAAGCCCACGTCAACAGGGTGAACAACAGACTGCCTGAGAGAGCAATATACTACTGACCTCTGAGAAGAAAAGTTGAGAGACCTGAATGAAGGTGGTCAAATCAGTAGTGAGTGTCAGGTCTATAATGTGACATTACAGAAGAAGGAGAAATGCCTCCTTCTGTGTGTATAAGCACAGATTGCAAAAATTAAACTTCTGAAATTTAAATTCATCATATACGAAACTGGGAGACCAGTTAACTTGCACTTAACTGTTCATTTAATTTTAGTATATAAAGCACTGCAAGGGACTTCTCATTTTACTAGTCTCTTCATTATGCTTTGTACTAAATATAAGTGGACAGCAAAATTTAGTTATAAGGCACACATAATTTTTTTTATAACTGAATATTAAACCATGCTTCAGAGATACTAAGCTCAAAAATAAAAATTTATGATTCTGTTATGAGGCCATTAATCATAACACACTGTGATGTGGCAAAAACAGGCAGAGATTATCCATGCCCAAAATACTGCTAAAAGAGAATACTTGATACACATTTAACAGTTTCAAAAAACACAGTGAGGAGGATTAATTCTTGCAACACAAACAATAAATCAGTATTCCTCTTTCAAAGTCAGTTAGCATGTATTTATAAACCCACAGGTCTTGGATCAGTGAATTTCAGAAATATTTTATATAAGCCTGCAGGTTTCTTAGGTGTTCACAGGGGTTCCATAGATTTCATTGCCGTAATGACCTCAAAGGAATTATCTATTGCAATTATATGTCTTACACTTATGTCTGCCCTTAGGCAAGCAGGTGTCATCTGTATTAGGAAAGGCATATCCGCATTTCCTAACCAAGAAACGAAGTTAAAGAACCTTTGTTATTGAACTGTATCATATATAGAAGTTTCACATGCAGTATACTCTTGATTATCCATGCCGATGAAAGGAAAACAATGAAAGACTAATGAAAAACATGGATACTCCACAATCTATGGAAATTAGGAAATGTATGTACAGTATCTAATTAGTTATATTATCTAAAAACCAATAGGACTAATGGAAAAATTACATTCAACATAAAATCTGAGTTTTATTATTTCTTTACACATTTGTACCAAACATTTTTCATTCTGAAAAATATTCAGAAGTTCCATTCCACAAATGTGTAGAAATGCTTGTAGGTCTTTGCATGAAATAGTCATTAAAACTGTCAAATCTAAATGAAAACTGAAGCATTTCTACAATTTTTTATAAGATTCTTAAGTATCAATTTTCATGAAAATCCATTCAGCATTTCTTGAACTGTTTCATGCAGATCCTTGTCAACAGGCTGTGGAGACCCACAGGGTTGTGAGATGTCAAGGATCCCATATTTTCTAGACAATCAGGTTACAGATCACAGTGAGACTGTGAGCCTCACATGCTGGCTGTCCTCACCCTGAAGAAGATTCCTGGTACTCATTTCTGTTAGAGGGTGAGTTGATCCAAAGGCCATAGTGCTGCTGGAAGGATTAGGTCAATGGAAAATCCAATCCCCTTGTTCGGAATCAAATGAGACAGCAAGATAAAATCCAGGAGCTCTGTAGGGATGTGAATGTGCCTAACAATGTGCATGGATTATCTGGAAACCACATAACCTGTGCACAGATAATTATGAGCATGCTGCAGCAGGTTGCTATGTGCTACAGTACACTTAATTCCCAGCTTGTATGAAGCAAAGCAAATAATAAATTCTGCATGTAAAGTGTATTACGTAAAAGATGTAATCTGAATTCAATATACAGAGTGGGGTGCAGAAACTTCCTTTTTTGAAGGCGAATAAAAGAAAAATTATTGCTGATAGACAAAATTTATGTTTAGCTAATGAAAGAACATACTTTAAAGTTTTAAATCATGTAGTTTTAAACAAAATATCTTGAAGGTGGTGGCCACCGTTCTCTATGCACTGATGCAACAGTTTTCTGAGGTTTCCCTCTGCATGTTCCAACATGCGCACCATAATTTGGGCTACTTCCTGCCGAATAACATTCTTCAGCTGAAGCAGGTTTGTGGGGCGATGTTTAAAAACCTCTGCCTTGAGGTATCCCCATAAAAAATCACAGGGCATTAGATCAGGTGAGTGCACTGCCCACGGGATGTCACCTCGAAGTGAGATGAGCCATCCGGGGAACTTTACCCTCAAAACTGTCATCAAAGCTCGGGCTGTGTGGGCTGTGGCACCATCCTGTTGGAACCAGACATTTTCTAGGTGCATTTCTTCGAGATCTGGTTCGAAAAAGGTTTTAATCATGTCCACACACCGCTGTGAATTGACAGTAACTGCATGATTGTCTTCTTCAAAAAAATAAGGGCCAACGACTCCAACTCTTGACAACGCACACCATACTGTCACCTTATCACTGTGAAGTGGCCTCTCATGGAGCTCTCTGGGATTGTTACCACTCCAATAGCGCATATTCTGCCTGTTGACATATCCGGATAGGTGAAAATGTGCCTCATCACCAACGAAAACAAGTGCGTCAGGGGGTAAAGTTTCCAATAACGTTTCGCACGCCGTTATTCGGTTCTGGAAATCACGTGGTGACAATTCTTGCACAATAACCATCTTATAGGGATGGAAATGAAGATGTTTGTGAAGAATTCGGCACATTGAACGATTTGATATGTCTAGGGCGATTGCATGTTTGTGAGCGGAGCGTCTTGGATATCTCAAAATCGACTGTCGAACTGCCTCCACATTTTCTGGCGTTGTAACAGCCCGTTGTTGTCCTGATAATTTTTCACCACACTCCCGGTTGTCCTAAACTTCTCTACCCACAAAACAATCGATTTCCGGTTGGGAACCGAACCTCTGGGCTTAATTCCGAAGTGAGTACGGAACGCACACTGCACCGCCACGTAGGAATGGTTGTTCGAAAAATAGGCTTAGACAGCAAATGCATGCTGCTCACTCGTCCACCTCATGTTTCCTACTGAGGGGTATTAAATAGAAACTTCCGTGACTGCTGCATTCACCGAGCCTATCCCCACTTTTCTGCGACCTTCCCTCCCTTCGCAATGCGTCTTCACAAAAAGGAAGTTTTTGCGCCCCACCCTGTACATTCTGCATATCTGTGAGAAGACAGTTGCTGTTTCCCACTTCAGGTGTTTTGATCTTTATGTCCTTTGAAAACACATTACTGAAACATCTGGAAAACAAAGCATCACATACCTCAAGCTTTATGTCCTCATAATGCTCCTCACCCTGATCATCATCAGTGTAGCCTGCATGCACTATACTGAGTGCTAGAAGGCCTTCCTTCATATGGGCCAGCTGTGAGACCATGTACAGTATTCCACACACAAGTGACACTGGCAAATAACCACAAATCTAGAAAAGAAAAATTGTAGGAAATAAAACACAGAGAAACATAATGTAGTGTGTCGCAAAGTAGTATTAATTTTTTAAGGTCCCTAGTATTGCTTCTCAATTATCTACTTCTTTTTCACCAATTTAACATTCACTGTATGGAAAAAGGCTATCTGCTGTGTAAATATGAACATAGGGTAACAGCCCCATTTTTCCAAGGAAGGGGTGGACTGAGAACAAGGCTCCCTTGCATTCATTTTCATGTACCAAAGCCAGATAAAATTTCTGATAGTCTATTTAGCTACAATAAGATTATACAGCTATTCCACATAGATCCAATTGGCAAGAAAAAATCTTTTAGGCCACTTCAACATTTGCCAATTAATGGAACAGATATTAGCCCTGGAGTGGGTAAGCCTTATACTCAAGGACGTTTCAAGTGTTCTACTGGCTGGAAGAGAAAAATGCAACAATTTTGAAGTACTTTTTACTAAACACAAACATACAACATGTATAACGAATGGCATTACTTATCATGTTAGTGAGAAAGATGGCGTGGCCTGCAGTTGTTGACAAGTTTCCCAATCCTAGGTAGAAAAAAGGATGTTACATTACGCAACTGCACTCATATATTTGTCACTTGAACCCTTATTTCAGCTTTCACTGGACAGAAGTATGTTCACATACATATGCTGATGCAAATAATGATGTCTTCCTTCAAAAATTCTTCAAGTTACAACAGTATTTTGATTTAGGTGACAATCCAAAAGATTTAGAAAGTTGCATGGAGTTGCTCTGCAAGTCAATGAGCTCCATGTGAAGATTCTCTAGCGGATTTTCAACATAAGATGAAAACATTTGATCTTTAACTTTGATTTTCATCAATATAGTTATTTCTTCCTGTAATTCCTACACTCTCTTGAGGACTTTGCTTAACTCAATCACACCGAATGCTTGAATGGTAGGGGACATCTGTACATGTGCATTCCACTTCTTCTAGCAGTGACAGGAACTGCCTGTGGTTCAGTCCTGTTGCACATAAAATTTACAACTATGCTTACCATGTGACTCAAGTTCAAAACATGGCTGTACAGTGTTACCTGACGACTTATATAATGAAAAACGATATTTACCTTTCACAATAATCTTAAGTTACTGCATTATGAAGAGGTAATTATATTATTTTGAAAGTAATCCAGGATATCATTCTTGCCCACTTTCATGACAAGATTCATGTCTGTGCTTGAAACTTCTAACGATGGTCTCCACCGCAACTAACTACAAACACATGTGGCCTATAAAATTTAATGTATACACAGCAATACTTATCAAAGTATTTTATTTCAGCAGACTGCAATGGTTGTGTCTGTTTTTGAAACTTCTGAGTGTGGTCTGCCTTAACCCCCACCCCCTCCAAACTATAAACAACTGACTAAGGTGTTATTTCATCAAATTTCCTTCAGAGATTCAAAAGCAATTATCTCAGAACTGTCAAGACCTTGAATGAATATCAATGGCATGGTCATGTGATGAGAACTCAATCCTTTCTGGCTAACAATGACACTCCTAGAGTCAACATTTGTAAATAATTCCTAGCAGGAAAGCTTAACGGAAATCTCAATACAGGCATGGACAGAATGCCATTGTCATAGTTGCTTTAGAATGACTCAAAATAAAGCAGCATTTCATCACCAAGATATTGTGAAATTCATTTAAGCAGTTACGATAGTGTACCATTGGCAATTAAGGTAATGAAACTGTCATCCACAAGCTACAGCTAAATACAATTCAGTGTTCCCTCACTTCAAGGTGCTGCCCACATTTAACATTCAATTAATGCAGTTTCAGCTCCATTACCTAAGTGTTGATATATATATAAAAACAAACAAACAAACAAAAAAACAAACACACTCTGTGATTTTAGTTCACAAGCTAACTATACCGACCGAGTGACTGCCGCTTGTCAGTGAAGTTAGTGCCAACTTTCTGCTAAAGTTGGCAGTCAATTTAAAGCTTTCCTCAGCTTAGTGTTCAAAACATATTTTCTCCATACTCAAACACATACAGATTTTTTGTACACAGTTTCTACCAAGCCAAACTTACTTGGAACAATCTTTTAACAAACACTCTGACTCTGTGGACATCCTCATCTTTCTTCAAAGCCTTGAACATCAGGCTAAGGAACAAAGCTTGGTGTGATGACGTTGCTAACTGAGGATCCAGCAGCTTCTTGTAGAGGGCAGAGTAGAATCTGGTTCACAGGACATACAACCCATTTCATTCTACATACTTCATTTGTAATGTTTACACATTAAAGACACTGAAACTATTTTAATATCCAAGGTTTACACTAACTCTCTGCTACCAGAATCTGAAGATTCAACACTGTTACTATCAAAGCCCACCAGTGGACACAATCCTTGCCCAATTCAGTCCATTCATATGATCACAACTTATTGCTCTAAATCAATTTTATCATCATCCTCCCATCTCCATCTATATAGCTATTTTTCAAAATGTTATGATGCCTTTTCATTTCCAGTTGAGCCCAATGCCCAGCCTATTGTAAACTCCTCAATTTCACAACCCCAGCAATTCTAGGTGAGACAGTATGAGTAAGTACACTGATCTTCAGAACAAAGAAAACACAATGACACTGGAAAAGTACATACCAAAACGAAAATGGAAATGAAACTTGCAACAACACAGTTACACAAAGGATATAACCTGTGCGAATTAATTTTCAACTAAATTTTTAACTGCCACAGAAATATTTTCTTTAGAACTGTTCATTTTCATAAACCTTCAAATCACTGAACTTTTAACTATAAGCATGTCTATATAAACAAATGTACTAAAGAAGGACTAAAATAGTGATGTGCATATGAGAGTAACAGAGGTAAGTAAAGCAGTAGAACTAACTGTCTCATGACTAGATTTTAAATTACTATAACAAAGATTTTGTACAATGTTTCCCAAAAATATTGCAAAATGCAGACAGAATTCTATTTTCCATTTAACTCAATTGCATTAGAATGTGTAGCAGAAGTGAAGGAAATTTGTATCTGGACCAAAATATTTTTCACCCTTACCTATGAAAAACATTATGATGAGGTGCAAATAGCTGGAACATGAATATGAAAGGACAGGGGAGAGAAAAAAAAAATATATATTGTGGAAGCCTGACAAAGGAGTATAAACTGCTTCATGAGAAACCTGAGCATGAAAGAGTAATTAATACCTGTCAGAAACAGAGTTTGCGAAGTCTGCTACTTGGAACAGCAATGACAGAGTATATAAGCTCACATTGAAACTTGCATAATGTACCACTTTGTACATAGTGTCTATGTGCTCCAACATCTTCTCCATCTCTTGTTTTGCATATGGGTATGCTCTGTTCACCCCTGTCAGCAGAGCAGTCATCAATCGGGAATCCACTTCACCCTGCAATCACATATCCCATATAAGTCAAATTCCATAATGACTATGTTTTCTGGGAAAAAAATGTTTTCATGTCTACAGAAAGACCAGTCATACTTGGAGGGGTGGGGGGCACGGATGACTGGCTATGGGCAGGATGGCAAGCATTTGATTCTTAGTTGAGTCGGGGATTTTCTTCTTTGCCATGATGTCTGCACTGGTGTTGCAACACACTCAGTCACCTATCAAATGGACTATCAGTCTACAATGCACGGATGCTTACTCCACATCATCCATATACCTTCATATGTTTAGAAAATGAGGCAAGTTTACGTTTCTTACCTTACATCAGTGTAAAATTTGGTACACAATTTATTCTAATTGCTAAATTGCTAAATGGAAGTTATGGTTTATGCCATATTGGTAGTTCCAAATATTATGCAGAATTTGTACATAATGTTTCTCAGCTACCTTAGTTCACATGCCTAGCTACAATACTGCAATCAATATACAATCTTGCAAGTACTTCCAAAGTGTTGTAACCAACATGACGAACAGTACCGACAGAAAACAAAGTTGTGCTTAATACTGTTAACATCTTCATTGAAAGTACTTGGAAAACCTAGGAGTATTCAGGATGTCAAGATGCAAAGAATAATTACGGAAACTCTGGCTATTTTGGTAGAGATTTCACCTTTACAATCTTATTCAATAAGCAAAGAAGGGCTTATGGTATCATACTCACATCTGTGCATGTGTAATGCATGATGTTCTGCTACTTGAAAGAATGTTGAGGCATGCAGCCAACCAGCACCTGTCAATGGGACATCTACGTGTATGTCTAACTGTTTATCTCTTTTAATAACTCTGAACCAATGGATTAATTTTCCTGTTGGTATTACTGATGATCAAGGAATTAAAGCGTGCAATGAAGGACTTGTATAAAATTTCATGGTATTTACATTAAGGTTTTTGCAAGCCTGTCAATTAGTTATTAACAAGAAGGTGACAGAACATAAACATTGACATCATAATGCCATAAACCTATGTTCCCTTACAAAATGGGGAAATTATGCTCAAATTGGACAACTGCTGTTACTTATACACAGTTGAAGGTGCCTGTAAGAGATGATGTTCAAGCTAATGTATGCACTGCTTCACTTTTCATATGACCTGTGGCAAATGTTTCCTTTACTCCACAGTCTCATTCTTCTGCATAAGTGCAAAAGTATTTTAAATAAACACTTTTCTATAAACTGCTGTTTCTTATACACAGTTAAAGGTGCCTGTAAGAGATGATGTTCAAGCTAATTTCATTTCATTTTCATTTATTTATTGCATTCTGTCAATCCATATAAGGTCAAACCAACCTACTGGATAGCTTTTTAATAAAAATTTGAACTCTTTAGTATCTTTGGATAGAAATTTAATGTTTGAGGGTAAGTGGATATAAATCTTGCTACCCGAGAAAAGCACTCCTTTTTGAACTATTGATAGATTTGTTGAAGGCAAATATAAATTGTGATTATAACATGTGTTGATATCATGAATATCGTTATTAGCTATAAAAAATTTCTGTTCTTAACGACAAAAAGAAGTAAGGAGAAAATGTACTGAGACTGAAGTGGCAATATTTGTATTTTTTTAAACAATCCGTGGCATGAATCCAGTATACCCGAACCAGATATAAGTCGTTATTATTCTTTTTTGAATTTTGAAGATACTCTCACTATGAGGGGCATTACCCCAAAAGATAATACCATATGATAATAAAGAATGTACATAGGAATAATAGATCATCCTCATCGATTAAAGTGACATAAACGGCTTTACTGCCCTTATTGCATAACAAGCCTTATTTAACCTTAATGATAAATCCGTAATATGGTTCTTCCAAGATAAGGTACTATCAACATTTATTCCCAGGAATTTAGTACAATTGATATTTTTTGAATTATTAGATATTATTTGCAATTCTATTTCCCTGTGCTTTTTTTTAGAAAGAATAGTATAAGGTGTGATTTATCACAATTTAATGTTAGAAAGTTACTATTAAACCACATAATTGTTTCTTTCAGAACTAATTTGATATCATTTTTAAGTTCTTCAGGACTCGTGTTTGATATGATAATACTTGTATCGTCAGAAAATAATACTGGATTACCTATTTTCTTAATGGATAATGGGAAATCCTTTATGTAAATAAGGTACAATAAAGGCCCCAATATAAAGCCGTGTGGAACTCCATATTTAACTAGTTCCCATTTTGAAGACACTTTATTAAGTTCAATATCTTTCATTGATACTCTCTGATATCTATTTTGTAAGTATGATCTCATTAACTTATTTACCATGCCTGAGATTCCATAGAATTCCATTTCTGCCAGGAGTATGTTGCGGTTAACATAGTCAAATGCCTTTTGTAGGTCACAGAATAAACCACCAACACAATTCTTTTTGTCTAAAGAAGACAAAATATTGTGACATGTTGACCCCTACCTCCCCAGCAGCACGTAGCGGTAACGTAGCGCTCGCGTAATAGGCGAGTCATCACCCCGCCACTCTCCCCGCGGTGACGTCACGAGCGGAGCCGATGTTAGCGAGTCCCCGCATCCTGGTAGCTATGCAACGCGCGGTGACGGTGACCCGCTTCCTACTGTGACGTGGCACACAACAGGCACCACTGCGGATATATAAGGGAACTGCACAGGAGCTACGAGTCAGTTGTAAAGTAACAGTCGCCGAGTCAGTTGTAACGTGGCCATCGCTGAAGATAGTTCCGAGCAAGCGTGTTATCAACAGTTCTCCAGTCAGCCATATAGTATAGCAGCCGTTGCGGAAAGAAGAACCGGATGTGTGTGTAATTGTGTAATTGCAAGTGTGTGATACAGTGATACACAGCTCCCCTACTGTAAACGTGTAGACCACTGAAGACAGAGTGAACTGATTTGCGAATAGGGTTATAAATCGTGAAACCCCGCAACAGTGGTAACAGATTAATGCGATTAGGGTTATAAAGTGTGAAACCCTGCAACTGTGTGATAAGTAATTGTAGCCGTTACCTGTAGATTGTTCAATAAACCAATTAACGATCACTACGGCGTCTTCAGTAACCAGAAACACGTTACAATATTATTTAATGTATGCACTGTTTCACTTTTCATATGACCTGTGGCAAATGTTTCCTTTACTCTACAGTCTCATTCTTCCGCATAAGTGCAAAAGTATCTTAAATAAACACTTTTCTATAAACTGCAAGCAGTTCACGAATTTCAGGAGAGTATCCGTGTAAATAAGGAAGGCGTATCAGAAGATACAAACAGTGAAATGGAAGATCAATAAATAACTGAAGAGAACACAATGAAACAAGGAAAGACTGGTATACTATCTAAGAGACCTAAACATCAACTTTTAAAAATAAACAAGGATTTTTATGGTAAATCACCCACAAGAAACTGTATTTTCTCTAAGCAGAGGAAGACCTGATAAAATACAATATTTGAGTATTCTACATCATAACATTCAAAGTTTGGGAACTAAGTTATTGGAATTAAATGCACTGCTTACATCAAGGTTATCAAAACCAGATATTTGATGCTTTTCTGAGCATTCGCTATAAAATAATCAAATTTTACATAAATATCGAACATTATATATATATAAACTGGTGGATGAGGGTTCATGTATATTTCTTTGTAATGTAATAAATGTTAGAGAGGTAGTCCCTTTAAACAATTTAGGAATGTGTAAAGAACTTGAAATATCAGCTACAGAATTAGTCGATTTTAAGATTATAGTAATTTGTATACATAGATCTTCTCCCAGTGATGTCAAAATCTTTTTAGGAATATTGGATGAAATTGTAAGTAAGGTAAATGAGAAAGGTACGTTTTTTGGTGATATGCTGTGATTGGAATATTAACCTATTACAAGGAAATATTAAACAAAAAGCTTTATTAAGGTTGCTGTTGTCAAACAATTTATTAAATACGGTTGAATGTTGAACGAGAGTTACAACAAACTCAAGCTCTCTAATTGATGTAATGATTACAAATGAGATATTTTATCATGCCACAACAAACGTAGTTGAACTGGGATATTCGGACCACTTTGCTCAGGTTATGAACATAGCTGTTAAATGCCCCTTTGTTCACTCGGGGAAAACTGTAAGAAGAGTCTTCTCAAAGATAAATACAAAAAATATTTAACAATCAGTTAAAAATGAAATATGGGAAGATATTTACTTACAAACAGATGTAAATATAGCATACAGATAATTTTTTACTAAGTATCTCAAGTATTTTGTAAATATCTTTCCTCCCCAAAAATAAAAAAATAATGGTATCAAATTAAAATGGTTAACAAAAGGGATAAAAGTATCGGGAAAAGGCTGCAATTGTTATGTTTGTTAAAGAAAAAGNTAGGATGAACAGGACTGGCGTAATAAGATACGACGTAGCGATCGGGAACCCTGAACAGTTTTAATATTTTTACGATTGACATTTGTCAATATATATGATGGACATATATTTTAGTTATTTTAAAGTGAAGACAAGGCATACAATGTACTAGTTTGACGTGAATTGAGTAGCACCTGAAGATGGCATTTTTATGCCGAAACATGTTGTGAGAGTGAGAGAAGAAGATAGATAAGTGTATGCACTGCAAGACGGAATAAACAAATCATGAACTTAAATCAGTGCAACAGGACGCTAAAATATAACACTTGCCTACTTACTACAGGCTGTAGTTTTCTAAGCACAAAGGTTGCAACATTCAAGTTATTTATCACTTCATCAGAGTATTTTTCCCAGCCCAAATGATTGTCCAGGCGCACACCTAAAAACTTACCATTTACAGAACATTTAAGTGTTTGGTCATTATATTTTATATGTAACAGATAGTCCATGGCCTTAGGGGTCATAAATTTCATTACATGGGTTTTTTTAATTTAGTGTTAATTGGTTAGCTTGGAACCATCTATATAAATGTCTCATAACTAAATATTATTATTAAGGCTACTA